TCCGCCTGGCGCCAGGACATGCTCCGGTTGGAGGGAATAGTCGGGTCCCGGGGAGCGCGGTTGGTGGTAACTGTGAGCCTTCTTGCTCTTAACAAGGAACGAACGCGGCATGATGGTGGGGCGGGCTGCGCTCCCCACTCCGTTTGCACGGGTCCCTGGCGTCTCCGTCCCCGCGCTGTCACCCCGAATTCTTGCTCAGCCCCAGCTAGACGGAGACCTGCGAGAAGAGAACCGGGTGGAAACCGGGTCAGCACGCTCCGGGCCCGGGAACGGGCAGCCAAGCCGAGATAGAGCTCGTGCCAGGGAGGAGCGAGTCAGGCTCGCGGGAGGAGGGGCTTGGCCCCGCTGCGCCACGCTCACCAGGTGGCCTTCTCTAGCAACACCGTTCAGCAAAGCCTCCCAGGAGCCCGAGTATCCAAAGGGCCGCTTATTCCAACTCGACCCGCTGGGCTCTGCTTTCGGGCTGGAGACGAGGGCGGGGGCGCGAGGACAAATTTAGGGACTGGGGGTGTGTCGATGGTCGAGGACCCGGAAGAGGCAAGTAGCCAAGCCCTTCGAGAACCAGCTACAAACTGGAGGGAAGGGGGGCAGGGGCGGGGCACACTGGGCAGGATGAGGGTTGGGGTCGGGGGCGGGGGCGGACCTCAGAGGGGGACTGGAGCAGCAGAGGTCCGAGAAAGAAGGTAGGAGAGCAGGGGGACCAGAAGGGGAGGCGAGGGAAGTGGCAGAGGACCAAGCCCGGCCCTGGGAGGAACTCGCATCCTGGCAATCTTACTCGTCCCACACTCAGGCTCCACGCTGGGAAAAAGTTAAACCTGGAGACGTGGGTGCGGCGGGAGCAGGCAAGGTCCGGGGCCAGACACCCCGGACCCTGGAGACCTAACCTTGGAAACCAAGTCCCGGGAAAAACCACTTTCCACTCTGCTCACCAAAAACCTTGTCCTGGGGAGGTCGAGCCCTAACGGCGCGCGCTGGCTGAGAAGCGCGCGGCGTCCTCCTAGGTCGGAGCCCGCAGAGAACCAACAGTTCAGTGGGCGCGGGAGAATCGAGGTCCGCGCGCGGGCCTGGGAGAGCGCTCACTGCCCGCTCTGCCGCTCTCATTAACCCCCCAATCAGTTCACCTAATCCCGGGGTCGAAACCTGAGCCCGGCGGGGAGGCGGGGAGGCGGGGTAGCGCCTCTGCGCTGCTCGGGTCTCTCTCCGGGGCGGGACTAGGGTGGCTAAGGAGGTCTGGAGAAAATGAATCTGCCTTCCTCCCGGGGTGAAGGCGACGGGGGCTGGGTACACTTGTGAGCTGCAGGCTCTTCGAGCAACAACGCTCCGTGGTCTTAGCGAGGTCAGAAACGGGGCTCTGGGGATGATGATGGTCCTTGCGCTTCGCGAGGTTAGATCTCCCCACAAGGAGTCAGCGGCTCCCAGGGCAGGACGCAGGACGCCGTCTAAGTCTGCCCATTGGCGCTCCGGGCATAAACGTAATTCTAGGGAACTCGTTCCCGGGAGGGCATTCCACGTCCCACCGTGTCTCCTTCCCCGGGAGAGGAGTGGGGACGGGCTTGGAGGAAAGAAGGCTGAGACTTGTAGCATAAACCCAATCGACGTTTCCCGCGTCCTCAGCGCCAGGAGGCCCCCTAGGGGTGAGGGTGCTTCCCGCCTCCAACCGGGTCGGCCCCGAGGGTCGGGGTGCTGGGCTGAGCTAAGGCGCAGTTCTGTTGCTTCAGTGTTTCCCTGCGCCCGGCGTGAGCTGCCCTTCGACCATGTAATGAGACACTACGAACGCAAAAAACCGATTCCTTAAACAACCATGAAACCAAAAGGAAAAGGTAAACCAGGTGAAACGGTCCCGCGGGCCCTACTGCGTCCTGAGTACCCGTTGGCGTAGAGCCGAACAGCGGGGGTCGGGGCAGGGTTTGAGGTGTCCGCGGCCCCTCTTCTGGACTGACCGGGGCCGCGGGGATCAGGCGGGCG